CCACTTGTATGATGTGAGTGTCTGGTCTTATCTCCTTATCTCACCTGGAGACCTCCCAGTTCCTGGTCTCTGTGTTAGTCTCTAAACTATCACACTCACCCTCTCCCTTACTACTTCCTAATAGGAGACCTTTCTCCCAGGGGTTCTTGAGTGTGGTGCTTTGGTCACACAGCACACCTGCCACATTGAGAGCTGTTTTGTGGTGGGCTGTCACTGTGCTGGCTTAGCGGTTGCTGGGGAGAGGAGGGGAGTAAGAAACTGGGTACCTGGCCAGCTAGGGTTCCAAACTGGGAGTTACCCCAACTAAAAGATGGTGATGGAAGTGACCCAAGATGGAGGTAGCTCTTTTCAGTGATGGGGTATCAGGTAGGGTTGGGGGAGAAGGGTGATGTGTTGGACGATGAGTTCAGAGATGAGCTCTGTGCAGTGTGTGGCTTGTCAGCTGACTTCAGAGCCTGTGTGAAGTTCCCTGGTGCTGGCAGGGTACTTTGCATAAGGGACTATCTCTGTTGCTGCAGGGTTCCAAGATGGAGGGCACCAGGAGAGCCCTATGTTGGTAGGTGGGGGTCCATATGGCAGTGGCAGCTGGAGTTCCTGCATGTGGTAAGCTGTCAGGTGTCCTGTGTGGGACAGCATCTGGGATTTCTGCTTGCGAGAGTACTGATGCCTATCTATGGTCCTGCTCAGGCACCCAGTAGTCCTGTGTTGGTGAGTAGTTGGGAGACCTACTCTGTTGCTGAGGCCTAGTGGCTGTGATTTCTGCAGAGATGCAGTATTCTCACTACTTAAGTCCCAGGTGACATAGAATGCTGCTTCCCTCTGGCCCACCATCTTGAATCCCCACATATACACATCTTTATATCATGTAACACTGTTCCTCTTAGTTAATGCCAAAATAACCAAAGACCTGATGCATATTTAATAGTATAATTGTAGCCAGCCTGAGGTGGCCTCCAATGAGTCCTGCCTCCTGGTGCCCACATTCTTGTGTATCCATGTCCCACATTGTACCAAGGTGAGTCTATATGACTAAGTGCGGACAGCAGAAGAGAGTATGTTCAACCAATATTAGATTATAAAAGACACTACTGTCTATGTATTGGGCTCTGTCCTACTCTCCTGAAGATCATTTGCTCCAGGAAAAATGAGCTTCCATGTCTTGAGCTTTATGGAGAAGACTATGTGATGAGGAACTAAGATTTCCAGCTATCAGCCAGTGAAAACTGAAGACTCTGGTCAACATTCACATGAGTAAGCCTTCTTGGAAGTGATCTTCCATCCCCAATCAAACTTTCAGGTGAAAGACCTGAAAGTTTGATTGAAGAGACCCTGAACCAGAACCACTTTGGTAAGCTAATCTGACTCATAACACTAAGAAGCTGCAGGACAATAATTTTTTTTTGTCTTTAGCTGCAAAGTTTTGGGAGAAATTTGATATATAGCAATTGATAACTGATACAAAACTAGAGGAAAGGCAATGGGGGCCAATTGTAGACACCATACACCTATTTTTCCATGGGCTCAGCCAGAGCCAGCCTACTGCAAATGCTATAAAGCACTTGTAGTTACTTATTTCTTGGGCAATTAGTAATGTCTTGGGAGAAAGATAGATGAAATTTCTGAAAAATATGGCTTTCAGTAGGAATGGTCTGGATATATAACAGTGACCATGGCAATAATGGATCACCCATCAGAATTCCAGAACGCCCTGTTGTAGCCTGGGGTTACTGATGTGCACGTCCCCCATTTCTCAAGATTAACACAAAAACTCAGTATAACATGAATGTATGCTTCAAAGAGTGCTGTATAAATCGAGTGTGCTATTATTTTCCATTTTTAATGTGAATTGACAAGAGCCACTTTAGTCTGTTAGCACTTCTTTTCTGAAGAAGAACCCCGACATCTTTTAGTGCCCTCAGCAGCAAATGACTTATGCCAGAGTCTATTCTTCTTCTTGAGACAGAAACCCAAATGACACCTGTTATGTTGTCTATTCGATGAACACAATTTCACAGAATGTGGGTGAAGTGGGAACTTTGCCGACCAGGAAGAATCCCAGCTGTGGCCCTACCACTTGGCAGCTGAAGGAAAATTCCTGGTGGTCGGGAGAACAGTTGGAATGCCTGTTTTCTTGTACAGAAAGGTGCCTGTGCCAACTGAAGTGCCAGCTCACTTCTTCCTTCTTTTCAGCCCTGCGGATACGACTTCATTAGTACTGAGGCCATTTTATGAAGCCTTTTTATACCTGCAGGTTGTCATTCTGACTTACTCTCTAATCCTGGTCACACATTAAGGGCTTTGATTAAGCAATTTGCTTTTTTCCTCCTTCTCTTCCATCTCATTGAAAGATTACAGAGTTTGAGCATGAGGTTAAAGGATTACTTCTGAATCCTGAGAGGACCGACACAGCTCCAGCTGTCTGTCATTTCCTGGAGTGGTTACTTATCTGTCAATATTTCTTCCCTTTTTTCCCAAGTCCCAGGCCTACTTGATCTTGTCCGTTTGGCTCGGCTGGTGGAGGAATAACAAGGGTCTTCCCATCATGCAACATTCTGGGATACATCATGACAGAGAAATCTCAAAGCCCAGGTCAATTATAACAGAAGATGTGCACCACCTCTTGCCCCTGAGTGTCTTCTGGGGCTGCAGTTGTTTAAAACTAAGTCACCTGAAAAATGCAAGGAAATGTGTGTCTGGCTGCTGCCTGCCTTCCTAGTTGTTTAGCAGGATACAAATAGAAGAAGACTAATGCTCTATGTGTGTGGTTTGTGGTCGGGAAGAGGGAATAAAGTTGGCAGCTACCTCATTGTGCAGTAATTACTTTTTAATTAGAATTCATTGAATACAGATGGATTCTTCCTGTTCTTTTGCCCACTGATGTTGTTAATATTCCCACATCAGATATTATGAGGCAGTAGCCAGCAGTGAATTACATAAAACAACCCTGTAGCTGGTAGTGACTTACAGAAAGTAACCAACTTAACCATTTGTCTTAGATGAAAAATGATCTTACACCTTTTTGTGGATTCTATTGCTGGTTTGTTGATATAGTGTTTGTTTACTCTCGTTCCTGCAGGAAAAGATATCATAGTTCTTGTATCAAATTACTGTAACTGACTGGAACATTTTTATTTTAAATAATATACCATCATTATTTTTTTTGTGGTGACACTGACAAATTTGCAGGATTTCTCATTTTTTTCCCCTCTTACCAATGAATAACTTGAACCAAAACGTGAATGGAATGTACAATTTCATGCTGTTCTAAAAAATCATTGCTCATCACATTCTAATTGTAACTAAGTTTGAACCTGAATAGCTATTTGCAGTATTTTGATAGAAATAAGAAGTAATTTCCATTTTTTTTGCTCCAGGGTCTCTCTACATGAACTGACATATGATGCATTTTTGAAGTCGCACTTAATAATTCTCTTTTTATTATAAACAACCGCACCCTTGTTGAACAGCAGATCTAAAATTAGGCTTACACAGGCCTATGTAATATACCTAAGAAACGTGATTTATTCTAATGTAATAATGGCATAGATTTATAAAGCTTGACTACTCCAATGCTCCTCGTTATGGCTGTAAAATATTTGTGGCCGCCGTGGGATTTTCTAGATCATTATTTTAAAAAAGGAAAAACCCATTTTGACAGATGAACTGGGGCCATTCTGAGCAAATCACAGATACTTCATATAACAAGGCCTCCAAAGAGGGGAGCATACACTTATTACTATGGCAACCCAGATCAAAACACTATTTTAGTGGAGAGTTTCCAGTTTTACAATGCAATGATGATTGTTTATAGTACCACTGAAACCAGATTCAGCAAAGGTTTAAGAAATGAGCTGACAAGAGGAAAATCATTATAGATAAACTGGGGATACCTGAATGGGATAGCATGGAATCTGCCATTATTTGATCAAATACTGAAATTTATTGCCCAGGACAATAGAAATAATGGAAAAGGATCCAAACAACGAGAAACATCCTGAAGTTTCTTTTGTTACAATGTTTTGGGACTAAGATCAGACCTATCTTGAGTTAAAACTTGGAAAGCAAAGAATTATTTGTTTGTTTTTTTTTAAGTACATGCCTCTCAAATCCCTTATTTTTCTATCTGCAAAATACCCACTTGTAACTTTAAAGTTGTGGGCTAAGGCTTCCTTTCCTAACATATTCCATTTGACAGACTGCAACAAGGCACAACTCAAGAACTCTGCCCATCATAAGGAGCTTTGTGCTTGCACATGTCTACACGAAGTGACAGCTTGCTGCAGCCCTGCTCAGTGATTTTTATATAGATGGAATTTTTACACAGAAAGAGAAAAATGGTTGGGATCATGAGTTGTCCATTTTGTTGAATCTGTCTTGAAGTATCCAAAGCTTCTGTGTGGTGGACAAAATGCATTGAAGTGAAGGGTTTAATAATCATTTATTCATTTAGCAGCTATGTACTGAGAATATACCCTGTGCCAATTGATATGTACAATAGGTGTGCATGCTGCTGTGGTGAACAAATTCACAGTACTGGCCTCTGGATGTTATAGTCTAGTGGGATTGTGATGAGGAGGGCCATAGAGAACTATTGAAGCATGCAGAAATGGAGAATAATAGACAGGGATGGAGTTTAGATCAATTCCAATGCATCATCATGAAGAGTTTTCTAGTCCAAAGAGGAAAGTAGAACCAGATTCTTGAATGTCTGCTTTGTGCAAAACTGTATTAGGAGTCTTGCAATACAATTAGGTCATTTAAATCTCAGAATAATCTTGAGAATTTGTTTTGTGTTTACTTTGTATTGTATTTACTTTGTGTCTAAGGAAACTGAGACACAGAAGTTTTGAGAAGAATTCTCAAGCTTGTTGAACAAAAACATATACAGCAGTTATTATATGTTAGGCAATGGTATAGGCACTTTAGGGTCTGAACTCATTTAATTCTCATAATAACCATTTAAAGCAGTATTACTATATATTGTTATTCTCATTTTATAGATAAGGAAATGAAAGCACAGGGAGATTAAATTCCTGCTGTATGTCACAGAGCCAGTAAATGGCAGAGACAAGATGTGAACCCTGCAGTCTGCACAGCTACTACTATGCAATGGAGACAGGTACTGCCAGGAATCAACAGCTGTTACTTCCTGTCTGTAACCAACAATCCATAATCTGGAATAAATCAGCACCTGTGAATAATCAAGAACCTACCTGTGCTGTAAGCCAGGTCTGCTGACTTACCATGTGCTACCTTTGTTCTTCACTTCTTTGCCTTCATGAGCAGATTCACTATACAAATACCAGATATTTTAAGGATCAAACATACATTGCGTTTGTTTTGTTTGCATAACTTAATTATTCCATGTCAAGATTAAAGTGATGATTTGAAATCATCTCAAATATTTCACTTACTTCTGGAGTAACTAAAGATAGTAGCAGTCATTGCTCTTGAGAACAACTCAAGGAGGGCAGATTCCTGCTTAGTCTGAGTTGTGTGCTGTACTGCTTGTCCACACCCAGGGGTACTGTTGTGTTGTGCTGAAAGAAAGAGGCACAGTGCATTCTTCATTTGCTTGGGGAATATCTATGAAATATTCTCATATAAATATGGGAGTGTTCAGAGAGAAAATATATAGTCCTTGCCTTTAAGTGGCTCAAAGTTTGGTAGAGAACATTAACAAATAAGAACACAATTTAAATTGTTGCTAGTGTGGAGTGTTGTGAGTGCAGTGAAGGAGTGCAGAGGGGCAGTGACGGCCTTTGCTCAGGTGTAACCGATAGCAGTCTGGGCCGCTTAAGCAACAGAAATTTATTTTCTCACAATTCTGGAAGCTGCCAAGTCCAAGATCATGTTGTGGGCTGATCTGGTTCCTAGTGAGGATTTTCTTCCTTGCTTATAAATGGCTGCCTTCCAATGTGTCCTTATAAGAAGAGATCCGAACTCTTATAAGGGCATTAATCCCATTATGAGGACTCTGACCTAAACCTCAGGTGAACCCAATAATATCTCAAACCCAAAGGTTCTATTTCCAGATATCATCACATCAGGGGTGTATTAGTCAGGAATCCCTAGGGGAACAGAAACAATGGGAGATATATTAATATATAATATATGTGTAACTATATATCTATAACTATATATATCTATAACTATATCTAAACTATAAATATATATATATATATATATAAATGATATATGAGTGCCCTTCAGAACTGATCTCAAGTTTTACCTTTATCTGGAGTAGTTTATTATTATTATTCCCCCCAAGAAATGATTTTTGTGATACACACACATACACACACACACACACACACACATTTATTTAGATAGATATAAAGATATCGGCACTCCTTCACTGCACTCACAATGCTCCACACTAGCAACAATTTGGATTGAATTCTTATTTGTCAATGTTCTCTACCAAACTTTGAGCCACTTAAGGGTAATGACTACATATTTTCTCTCTGAACACTCCCATATTTATATAAGTATGAGAATATTCCATAGATAATCCCCCAAACAAATGAAGAATGCACTGTGCCTTTTTCTTTTAGCATAACACAACAGTACCCTTGGGTGTGGACAAGCAGTACAGCACACAACCCAGACTAAGCAGCTATAACTGTGATATATAAACATCGCAGTTATACAGTGTATCACAGTTATATAGTTATAAAAGGTGAATTTCTTTGATTGGCTTACAGGATCAGAAGCTGGAGAGTCCCACAGTGGCCATCTGCAGGTTGGAGAGCTGGAGGAACCAGTAGTTGCTCTAAGAAGTTGGAGCTTCAGAAGGAGGACCAAGAAGACTGTAGTCCCCAGGTTGGGACTAAAGGCCTGAAAACTCCCTGGAGGGTTGATCTTCTTTGAAGACTAAAGAAGCGAGAGTCCAATGTCCTCAGACCATCATGGCAGCAACTGAAGCACCTGCTCAGGGAGAATCTAGTTTGTGTCTGTGTCAGCTTCCTCATTCTTCCACCTTTTGTCCCATCCAAGGCCCCAATTTATTGAAATGTACTGCCTTCAGTTTCCTTTCCCACATGCCAGTCATTCCTAGAAACAACCTCATCCATACGCTCAGAAGCCTCTTAATCCAATTAAATTGACAATTCAGATTAATCATCCCAGGGTTATGGCTTTAATATATAAATTTGGGGCAAGGGGTTTGGGTGGGTTTGGTGCATTAGCTTTCTGCCATTGTGACCCAAATGCCTGACAAGAACAACTTAGAGGAGGAAAACTTTATTTTGGGCTCACAGTTTCAGAGGTTCAGTCAATGGTCAGCTGACTCAATTGCTCTAGGCTCAAGGTAAGACAGAACATTATGGTGGAAGGGGGGGCGAGGAGGAGGAAAGTGACTGAGGTCATGGCAGCTGGGGATCCAGTGTGTGAGGAGCTATGGACAAGATATATTCTCCAAGGGAATGCCACCAGTGACCTACTTCCCCCAGCCACGTCCAAACTACTTGTAGTCTGTAGTCACCACCCATAGTTTATTCAAATTATTAATCCATCAAATGGATTAATCCACTGATGAGGTTACAACTCCTAAATCTAAACATTTTACCTCTGAACATTCCTGTGGTACCTAACATGAGCTTTTTGGGGAACATCTCAAATCCATACCATGACAGTTGGATACACGTGGTCCAGAACAGACAGCAGTTTCAGCTAAACACTTCTACAGGAGGAGATAGTTCAAGATAACATCTTATTAGCATAGCATGATAGAATTATAGGTGCAAAGGAGAATAATAATGATGGCTGAATGCTTATTGATGACTTACTATGTGATAAACCTTGTTAGAAGACCTTATTAGAATCCTATGAGGTAGATTATATTAGAAGTTGAGGTTGAATATTTCAAAAGCTAACAAAACAAAAACATGTTTCATTTAAAACATCTACTGTTGCAATCTAGGCCTGCATGGACATCAATGTCTTAGAGGAATACCAGCTTGAATAAAAGTCATCCTTGCTTGATGCATAGGGAAAAGGGAGGAAGTGAAGGGTCTCAAATGAACAATTAAATGTTTGAGCCCAGAATAGACATGTTACTTCTGCTTTGAGACCAACGTCTAGAACTGGTCACGTGGCCATGCCCAAACACAAAGGGTCGTTCTCTATGGAAAGTATAATTCTCCATGTGCCCAGGACAGCAGCTCTCAGAGTACACTAATAATGCCTATCTCAACCAAGAGTACTCCCTCCCAGGATTCAGTGTGGCAGTTTTCCTCTAGGAAACCAAGGTCCCATTTACAGATCCAATCCCCTCATTTACAGATAAGGACATTTGACTGGTATGCCAGAGGTCAGAAAGCCAGAGCTGATCCTTCCCAAGTTCTGCTAGCATCACCGCTGGTCCTCTTAACAAATAGTATAAAGCCATTTTCCAGAGAGTGACACTGAGCTGATCCCAGTATCCCAGCCACTTCCCACCGCCAGTCCGAGATTGCTATAACAGAAAGTCTCAGTCAGCCTCAGCTCAGTTCCTACTCCCTGCCCCTTTTTTAGATCTTGAACTCTTAAGAAATGAGAAGCAACCAAGCAGGAGACTCCTTTGGTTGGTACTGAAGGGAGAATGACCCTGGTGCTGTTAGATTCTGCTCATCCCAGAAGGTCTCCCACTGTGAAGTGGGTGATGCTTCTTTTCCATGCACCTACCTGCCCTGCCCACATCAGTCTGCAGGCTGTCCTTTGGGGACCAGGTTGCCCATGATCTTCACTGTAATCTCATTTAATGAATTTAACAATGTTGGGGTCGAGGATTGAGGAAGCAGTGGAAACACAAAGCATGGAATGATTTGCCTTAATCTGGTTTTCTGTCCCTCACCCACCCAAAAAACAGTCCATTTATCATAGCAGATATCCTGGGACCACCACGAATTTTACCCAATAGTCTTCCTTGCCGCAGAGACTGGCTAACAGAATAGCCTCTGCATTAACTGCACAAATGAACTCCCAATTAATTGCTCAAATTAATGGAGGGAATGGGAATGGAACATAATGGGCTTACTTTTTATGAGAATCCCCAGTGTTTCACTGAGGTGCTTACAAACAAGTAAAATCTACAAATCAACATAAAACTATGTCTTTCCAGATCTTCATTGTCTGAGGCATTGAAGTGAACAGGAAATTAATAGATACAACTAAAAAAAAAAAAATCCATTCCAGGCCACAGCTTCCAGGTCTGTGGACTGTGTACCTGTGCATTCTCTAACTCTACAGGGTAACATTAAGATTGATCATCATCATAGACTTGCATATTTATCATCCATTTCTTGGTACTGGAAACCAAGTATTTTGAGCAATGAGTACATTTTTCAAATTTGCACATTTGTTTGATGGCAAGATGAACAAGTATGTATTCAGGGCTGTTAATAATCCCACTAATAATCATTGCCAACATTTTTTGTGTGTTACTGTGTGTCAGGAAGAACATAAGGTATCTTACATATTTTGTTGTGTCTGTGCCACACATTGTGAGATAGGCCTATCCCCATTTTATAGCTAAAAAAACTGAGGCTAAAAGGATCCAGGAAAATGGCTAATGAGTGCTGGCTGGGCTGGAGTATGCATGAAATGAATTCTCAGCCACTCTGCTCTATTGTTTGTGCCTCCCTCATGGGTTGACAAACCTCTCACCTGTCCTTGAACTGAGTCTCAATCAGAAACATAACTGGGCCCCATTCCCTGTTGTTAGCACAAAATTTCTACTCCAGATGGCAAATCTTTGGTCAGACCCTGGGACCAGGTAATGCACTATTATAAACTGCTCTGTTGCTGGTCCCTTGGAGCTATGAGCACATCATGATTTAGCAGTGGTGGGAGAAAAAGGGGAAAAGGTACAGTAAATGTGTGTTGCCAGTTATTTAAAATAGGCCAATTACCTCAAACTGTAAAAAAAAAAAAAAATACTCAAGTTTAGATACCTATGAATTGCTTTGACAAATTTGGTAGTAGACAATTCTCATCACTGCCTCCATTTGTGCTGTATTAAATGCAGCTTGTTTGGGAAGCATGTGGTTGACTAACTGTGGGTTATATTATTAGCAACCCTCTCTTACCCATTTATTCATAAATTTTGGAAACAGACAAAAGTAGTTAAGTTTGTGCAATCCAAATATGGCTATCTCGTGAAGACTGAAAATAAACTGCAATTTCCTGGCCTCTTTTTCTGCATATTTTGGGGGTGGTATTTTTTGAGGGGCGGGGGTGGTATTTTTATTCATAGTATAGTTTGTCCCAGGGTGGACTAGGGGAGGCCTATAGGCACCGAGGGGAGATTATCACCATATCCAAGAGAGCTGCAATGTCATAGGTCAAGGGAGAGGCCTGACAGCAGGCCACAGTGACACTTGGGCAACTAGGAGTTAGTTGTGAAGAATGGAGCACCACATGGCAAAGTCACAGAGAGGTCAGGAAAACTCTGCTAGCCTACAGCAGACGGTTCCTTTCCTATTGTAAACAAAGCAGAGACGATAATAGGGAAGGATGAGCTTTAAAATAACTATTCTAGAGCAATTATTCCACTTGAGGGTTAATTGCTACGGTGTGAACCAGGACATTGTCTAATTAGGAATAAACTTGTGTTCAGTAACAATTACCCAGCTAATTGGTCTAGTGCACATAGAACTTAAAAACCAGGCAATAACAGCAATGGTGAAAGACAAAGTCCTCCCAAGTCTGGGGTGTTTCGGAGAAAGGGCACAGAATGTCAGCATTAGAAAGATCATCTGGGCCATGAGCTCATTTTGCAAATGAGGCCAAGGACAGTGAAGAGATTTACCCCAGGCTCATGGAAGGATGGTACAGAGCCAATACTGGAGTGGGGTTCTCTCCTGACTCTCAGCCCACTACTGATGGATAGCCCCATTGTTTACCCAACATCATGCAAATACTGGGAAAGAGTGGCACCAGGTAGAATTTGGAATCCAGGCCCTGACTGTGGGGAGAGTTCTGAGGAGAAATGGTGGGTTGCGTGTAGTTACCATTCACCCACTCCATTTGTTATCATTTTCTCTGGAAGATGCAAATGAGAAGGTGCCCCAAATTTTCCTTAGCCTTCCAGTCTCTCCTTTACTTCAACAAAACCATTGAAGAAATTGATTTAGTAAGCCTGTGACTAGCCCAAGTGCTAGACACACAAGTATAAACCGGACAGTTCTTAGTCTTGTCTACAGAGACAATGGTTCATTGAAGCTTCAAGCTCATCTCGTTTCTGTCATCCACAGCAAGAAGGGACAGAGGACCTGGCTGTTTTCAGGGACACGTTGTTCTTCCGTCCATATGTCCTCAATGACTCAGAATCCTTAGCAAAATCTTTTATAGGGTAAAATTACCCATGTGTTCACCGTTAGAAGTTAGAATATAGAAATATATTTAAATATAGAAAGAACACTTCTGCTTCTGTGAAAGACAGTGCATTTCCTTATATTTTCAAAACGTATTCAGAAATATCTTTCTCCGGTATGTGTATTTGATTTCAGTTAGCCTGAACAGAGAGCAAAGAGCCTCAAAGGCATGATAGATTTTTTTTTAGTTCCTTTGGCCTTTTTGGGCCAGGTTCTTCTTTTTTGAAAGGAGGTTTTTTAGGGGATTTTTTTGTTTTTTTTTTTCCTATGGAAACTAAATAGTTGTAAAGGAATTTTTCTCCTAGGAATCAAACCTTACATAGCAACTGCATACATATTAAAAGCAGTGTCAAAATTATGTGTCTGCTGGGAGATGGAGTAAGAGAAGAGGTGTGGAGGGTGTCTGGGGTAGTATATCACAGAGTGGAAGGTGAGAGTTGATCAGCTTTACAAAAAGCTAATCACTCAGCATGATAAACAGCACACACCAAAAGGCAGTTCTCAAGTACTGGTTTGTGTACACATTCATTCAACAAATATTTGTTGAGTGGTTGAATGTGCCAGGTCCTTTGCTATATGGTGAGTAAAGAACAGAAAATAAAACAGATAAACTCCTGACTTCTTGAAATATACAGTTTCTTGAGGAGATCAATGTTAATGCCTATGAATAGTCAACCTCAGTTAAGTAATGCTGCAGTAACAAATAACTTCCAAATCCTAGAGAGCTACTACAATGAAGATTTATTTCTTGCTCATGTTCTATTT